ATATCTCTCACCATTCAACTGGATTAAAATGCAAAAAGCATTGTAAGGGCAAGAACAATTCATAAAATTAAATATATGAATGATTAAAATATTAGTTAGGGGATAACCTGGATCCATCTTAGTTCGAGAATTCTTGGCAAGTCTAGTTCCGAAGGATCCTATAGCATCCCTATACATAACAAGCTAAAACAAAATATTTCGTTTTAGTGCATTATTCCTCACAAATATAACAACTCAATCAAGTTTTTACCCAAATATTAAATAATACCTCTTGTATTGCTGCTACCTAGTTTCGATGGCTTCTCTCCAACCTGGCAATAATGTATCTGACCCCTTCCATAATCTTGTGGAGATGTCCAGGTATCAAATAGAAAAATTTTGGGTTGAAGTAGTAACCTAGAAAATATATAGATAGAAAAATGTCATTTAAAATTTTATAAAAAAATAATTTAGAATGAAACATTCTAATGATATAAATATATATTTACCTGCATAATGAATTGGACGTCCAAATTTGGTATTCCACCTTCTTTCTATAATCTCGATCACTTTACTAGCAAAATTACACTTCTCCCCAATAGTTGATTTGACCCTCTCGATACCTTCATAAAGGATGCCCATGGTAGCTTTCTTCTCAGCATCCACCATTCTTAACACTATGACCAAAGGGGCAGTGGTATCTACGATAATGGAACATCGAGACCAGAACCTCCTATTTGAAACTATGCCGTCCACTTTTAGCCCGGTACTGGACTTCGAGAGGCGGTCATTTGACCACTCTTCACTGGTAAACAATCTCTTTATTGCACCTTCATATTCCTGAATGGAGTCCACAACCAAGTAATCTGTTGTAAAGCGGGTTATGGCAGGCCTGATTATCTCTTTTTTTTTAGACTGTTCTCTGAACAAAAATAAAATTTTAGAATGATTATATATAAATCTTGACACCAACATCGCTTCCTGTAGAGTCTCCTTCAATATTTTGATCTCACCAATCTACTCTAACATAAGATCGATGTTGTGTGCAGCACACGAGGTCCATATTAGATGCTTCCTCCTATCCATCAACTTGCTACCCGCAGAAACACAAGCACGCGTATTGTTCGTAATAAACTGGACTACATGCTTATCTCCCACCTCCTCCACTATCTGATCATATAGTCGTACGTAGAAGTTTGCATCCTTCTTCATCCCTGATACGTCTTTGCTAGACAAAAAAGCTGTACCTTTTAGGGAATAGACCAAGAAGTTTACAAAGTCCTTTTTGTTAACTTTATTCAACCAACCATCACTCATGAGAGCAATGTCTGTTCTTGGCCAACTCTGTTTATATTCTTCAATCCACTTTCTAACTTCCTCCACCTCTTCATCCAATATTGGCCGACTGAGCTCATATGTCGTCGGGCGTTTTACCCCGGACTCAGCTCTCTGGATTGCGTTGACCATAGGTGGAAAATATGGGCTATTGGCTGCACCAAAGGGAATCCCTTTATCGTAGAACCATTTACCAACATATCTGCCCAACATGTTTCTCGTATCTTTCACCACGCCTTTGAGGGTCATCTGTTCTGACTTAGGCTTTGAGAGAAATGGGTCTATACGACCATGACCTGCAATACTGGCACTCCTAGATAAGCTAGAAACAATTTCTTCAATGTTTAATTCCTCTTGATACATATTGCCACCAACCCCTCCATACATATTTGAGTTGGGCCTGTCATACATGCTCGAGCTGGGCCCGCCATGCATGTCTAAGCTAAGCCTACCATGCATGCCCATGTCATAACCACCAGGCATTCTAAACCTGCATTCCCTTTGGTATGTTTCCTGTAAACTCATTCTTGTGGCCATCTCCAAGTTATTATTATATTGCTCTTCTTTATCATTCCCGCTTGATGCCGTATATAAACAGCTATCTCCTCATCCATCATTTGCTTTGTAATTTTTTTACCTTTGGTAGCCTTGAGAATGCCGCCATCTGTTTTCTTACATTATTAGGGACACTATTGCTCGCAGAAACATCTCCCTTAACCCCTGCCAAGTGTTGCTTGAACCTATGTACCCCACTACTTATCACTCTTTGGTAGTATTTACAAATAATTTTGTCTTTTTTGTTGGGATCAAGTCTGACCCCATATTGCCATGCAGGGTCTTCCGCAGATCTTGCTATGGTTCAACTTTAATAAATAAAAGGTTAAAAATTAACTTGACAGTTCAACATGAAAAATAATCACCATGTGTAGTGATAATATGTAGGGGTAGTTCATGAAGTTATATTTGTTGATAATGCAAAATACTTCTATTAACAAAAATATTTTAGTTCCTACTGGGAAAAATAATTTATTTATGCAGCATTATAGATAAAAATAGCTCATATCAGCCACTATATATAAAACAAAAAATTTACATTGATATAGTATCAATAAAAAATATATTTACAATGGTATAATAATTCACAATGCCAATACATATGGACTTGTCACAAATCTTCATTTCGACAAACATGAATTAGTTCATATTGAAAAAAAAAAATATTTATGCAACATTATAGATAAAAAAAAGTCTGTATAAGTCACACTTAGAATCAAGAAAAAAAATACATTAATATAGTCATCCATAATGCCACTACACGTATATTAGACACAAAAAACATTTACAATGATATAGTCATTCACAATGCCACAAATAAAATTTACAATGATATAGTGGGCACAATCCCAACTCTATTGAAATGATCAAAAATAGTCGTACATCTCAATTACAAATTTGCAAGATAATATAATAAAAAATGCTAGCTCCAAACATGGCTAAAACTCAATTATCAAGAACATACAGTTTTTGCATTAAAAATTTAATAATAAAATTGAAAAATGCAAGATAATATAATTATCATACATGCCACGATTTTTTTACAATGATATTCACTTTAATTCCTCATGATAATATAGTTTAACAACATGCATTTTTTGCATTAAAAATTTAAAAAATTTAAAATACATTTTTGATGCAAAACTGCATTAAAAATATAATACAGTTTAACAGTATGTATTTGTTAATGTATTTTTTTGCATTAACAACAAATTAAAAAATACAGTTTTGCATTAAAAATATAATAACATGTATTTTTTTGCATAAATAATCTATCAACATGCAATTTTTAACTAAAAATTTAACAATAAAAATTAAAAATATTGCTTAATTCCTCATGATAATCAAAACGTGGTCACGATTTTCACAATTTTTTGGAAAATCAAGATTTTTCAAAAAAATTGATAATGAATTTAAAAAAAAAAAAGGCAGTTTTGTACAGACCCACCTAACATCAGTCATTCCAACTCAAAAATCCAGCTCAAATCGAATAAATTACATCAAATTGAATACATGTTTTGATAAACAACACTATAAGGAATCAAAGCCCAATAATATTAACACGTTATTATTAAAAAATTAAATAAAATCTATTGAATTGAGGAAAAAAAAAAAAACAAAGTTCTTCACAGACATCAATCATTCAATCTAAAAAATCAAGCTCAAATTGAATAAATCAGATCAAATTGAATACATGTGATGATAAACAAAACTACAAGGATTCAAAACCCTATAAATTTAACACATTCTTTGCAAAATATTGAGTAAAATTGATAGAATGGCCCAAAAAAAAAAAAACAGCAATCCATTTTTTTTCTTCACAGACATCACTCTTTTTTTCTCAAAAATCAAGCTCGAATTGAATAAATAAAATCAAATTGAATACATGCGATGATAAACGCTATAAATTTAACACATGATTTGCAAAATATTGAGCGAATTTAATAGAATGGCGGAAAAAAAAACACAGTTCTTACTTGTTTTTCGTGCACCCATGCATTCAAATTCAAAATTGATATGTATTCCTCCAAAATAATCACAAATTATGAACAAAAACTTCTGAACAACACTCTTACGATCAGTCACCCTGAAATTTTACACAAAATGATGCCCTCTTTTGCTAGAAATGGCGGAAACCCTAAAACTCACTCTTCGATTCAAACTTTTTTTGTCAAAATCGATGATTTTTACTACCTTTTATTGACTGAAATGGTTGAAAATTTTGAATTAAAGCCTGCAAGATTCGATTATAAAGTTGAAAAAGATAAAAATGATAAAAAAAAAAATGACAGAAAAAGATGAAATCAATGAAGAACACTGTGCAGCCCGTGTTCTGAGGCAAGTCAATGGTGTGACTCGACGATTCACTATTGGGAATCGCCCGGTTCTCTCTGGACACGAGCGATTCCCGATTTTGTGGTGGAACCGACATGGGTACTGTCGATTCTCGAGTCGAACCGGACGAGTCCAGTTCGACTCGCCATTTTTTCAAACCCTAGACAAAAGTGATTGTGACCCACTTGCATCAAAAGTAAATTCATACTTCCCTCTAATTTACTGGTTTCCTCGTACAAACTTATACAAATATCTCCTATTCAATCGCTGAGAGACATATTTTCTCATACGCTGTATCGTACTTCTATAAATATTATATCGTGTATATATAATTTTTTTTGGATAAGCCAATGCGGATTATGCTGTGTAATTGTGAAAATCTTGAAATAGAGCCATTTTGGCAGATTTGGTATCTTCAAGCCAGTGCCACATCCATAACCGAATAGAGGTCTAACGCCAATCTCTCTCCCTCTCTCTCTTTTTCTCCCTCTTAATGGACTGATTGGAAATCCCCATTGTTCTCTCACATGAGAACATCTACATCTACACATATAAGAACCTCTATTTCTAATCAAATCTATGGTTCTGTACTTGGCTTGCAAAAGGTTGATCTACCTTCAAACAATTATATAATCCACATGTCCATGCATTTATCCATATAAATTGACAGACAAAAAAAGAATCAGAATTGATTGGTCTCTCAAAAAAAAACAAAAAAGAAAAGAAAGATGAAACATCAATAATGGATCAACCAAACCCTCTTCAGAGCTTGCTTATGAAGAAGAAGAGGAATCTCATACAAATACCATGAAATAAAATTTGGTTCTATTCATGGGGATTTCGGTAAATATCCCATTCCGTAAAATTCATTTCCACATTTTAGTTATGCTCCTAAAAGAGACACTGAGGCAATTCACCAGGCCAAAGTCAAGAGAGACCAGACAATGCTCCATGCCTCTTGGAATGTGAGACCATGGAAACAATTCAACCAGACCAGGCCTATCCAACAGACCAGGCCTATCCAACTAACTTCTCAAAGCCTTTGCACCTTTTGAGTCACTTTTACCTATTTTTAGGACTGAAACTGTTTAAACTTGTTGGCTCATATTTAAGGTCAGGACAACCACTAGTTGTTAGGCAGTTCCCATCCCCACAGTTTTAAGGTTAGTAAGACCTAGTTCAGTCTGGTCTAACCAAAAAAGGGTTAAGAAGGGCCCAGGCATTCAATAGTGACAAGAAATTCAACCAGTCATTTATATATCAAAAAGACCATTCATCCTCCACCCCATCTAAAGTGGACCAACCAACCATGCATACAAATGGATCTGAACAAAAAGGAGATTACAGTACAGGAAGAGGGCGCCTATTGTCGATCTTCAAACCACTCATTTCTTCAATTTCTGATCATATGATTCTCTCAGGGCACGAGCAAGCTTTGCTAGACTTGTATCTCTGAGTTGCCAAAGAGTCTACAAAAGGAGACACAGAACCTTTAAGAGATATTCTGCCATCAAAGTGCTTCCCCCTTTTCTAACACTGAAACCTTTTTAACCAGCATCCCAATTGTATCACTCCAAGAACCCTCCATCCACGTTTGCCTCTTTCACCCAATTAAAAAGATGGGTAGCTCCCATAAAAGCCAATAGCCCATTGTATTTTTATTGGGGCTTTACAGTCTGGGGTCGAGAAGACACACCATGTAACAGTTTGACAAACCCTAAAAAACTCAGTTTACCATCTGTATGTCTTATCCAGTCGTGAAGAACCGCATGCACGGGGACACAAGGACCAAGCCCAAGCTCCTGTAAGGAAAGACCTTACTTAACCACCCAAACCATGAAAGATGGAAAAAAGGGAAAAAAGAACCAAGAGTCTATTTTATCAAAGTTCTTCAATACATCTTTCGAACCATAAGATAATGGATGGTGCATAGCATACCGATGCAAGTTCCTCAATGACAATGGCCCTGTTGCCCTCCTTGTCAAAGAGCTCGAAAGCGGAGCGAGCATGTTGCTCCCAGCGGTCCAAACCTTCAAGTTGGTGGACACTTATTGCTGCAGCACAGAATTCTTCAAAATCCATCTTCCGGTATAGAAGTGCTGTCATCTGTAGAATGAAAAGCAGAGCTTCATTTGTCAATTGCTATTCCAATAGACAAGAACGAAGAGGGCTGAACTCTTAAGAATGGATGCACTACCGAAGTAAGAAGCTCATGAACCCTTGACTCCTTCATCGCATCTGTTGCATGTTTCATTAAGGCCTGCCCACAACATCATAGTAAGCACCTTGATAAACATCATCCCAACTAGCTTCCTAATGATAATATTACAAAGTCATAAAAAGGGAACGAACCATCCTAATGTTTTCAAGAGAAATGCACCCATTTTTGTTCGCCTCTAACAATTGAAACTGTTCCCGCAGGTAAAAGAGCTCATCCACAGTCAGTGTTTTTGATAGAGCCTGGCAGAGAAGCAATTGAAAACAAATTACAAACAAAAAATGGGATGTATCTACCAGCATCCTCGAATTAAGGCAGTCTGAAATTTACAAATCAGAACTTGCTTCATTAGCTTGAGTAAGGAGCGGTACAGCTAAAGTAATAAAGTTTCAACCAAATTGATTCACAGAAATAGTTCTACAAGGACTTTCCATGATCAGTGAAGTTTAAATAGGCCAACTTCGCCAGGTATTTTCCAATATAATCCTGTAAGAGGACGACTGAGAACTCAAGCTCCCCACAACTCTCCAACAGATTCAGACATGATAGGTCGGGAATGGCTCACAGGTCGCCCATGGTAAGGAAGACTCTCCTTAGTGCTCTGACTTTGTTGTGTGACATTAAGATCTTCTCATTCCATGCTCAATGACACTAATAACATTTCAATAATTTTCACAGCCATTTCAGGGAAGAAGGTTCAAATGAAAAATAACTGTGATGATTGGAAGGACAAAGATCAAGTAATGTAGACTAAGACCAATGCATTAAGTTTACATGTCAACAAACCTGATAGACCAGACACAGGCAATGAAATACACTGAATCTTTCTTTTGAATAGAGGCCTAGATGAAGAATTTCACTCACTTTCTAAGAAAAATGACTGCAAAAAATGGCTCGTCGCTCACTATCAATATCATAGAAGACTGAAAGATTCTGATCCTATCAAAAAGGCTGCCAGTTTCTGATGCTATCACCAAACTAGTTAGCATTTCTCTGTCACCCCGCACACTCCAACCAAAGAGATTCACTCTTCTGATGAAAGAAGTTCAAACTCTCCAACAAACTATCTGAGAAGCAGTGTTGAAAAGCTCAACAAGGACATAAGGGAAAGACCCAAAATAAAAACTGTCAACCCACAATATCATAAACTCCTATATCAGTTGAGCCCATAACTTTTTAAAATAAAAATAAAAAAGAAAGAAAGAAAATGGGCTAGCACAACAGAGAACGGCCATGTTCAATTTTGCGATTGACTAAGAACATGAAGTATCGGTCCTCATAATTTTTTACTTCAGGTCTCATATGAAGAAAACTCCAAACAGCTATCAGTGGAAATTTGAGAAACACCACAAACAAAGTAATTATTAGAAAAAGGAAATTGTCATATACAAAAATCAAAGCTAAAAGAAAGTATCCATCTAACAGTTATAATCTTGTCAGTATCATTATTTATTCATGACTAAAGAACAAAGCAACATGCTATTTTCTCTATCACGAACTCTTAATGCCTAAGCTCCCCTATTTCTTTCGCATTGCATTGAACTTTTCATTTACCAGGTAAAATGACGGCACAATTATACACTAACGAAAAGTCGGCACTTCTCTAGCTTTCTAGCCTGCCAAATGGAATCTAAAAGCACGACATAAAAACAAAAAAAGAGAAAAAGAAAGAAAACATAGATAATACCAAGCATATCCCCAATGCAACTTCAAATTTTCTATAGGAACCGACTCTTCTACAAGGCTAATCTTCTTTCATACTTCTCAATCACAGAAATTCTTTTAGCTACATCCCAGACATAATTTATAGGTTTCTCCATGCATAGAGACGACTGAAGGTCAGTTTGTTGGAGTAATTACCCCTCATCCAAAAATTACCAGAAAGAACTTGAATCTAAGATGAATTGCTCCATACTCCCCAGTGTTTTAAAATGCAGGATACAAACCTGATGCAGATGGGTAAGATGTGGTCCCAATGGGGAAGCATCAGCTCTAATGCAGTCAATAAATTTGGAAAAGGTTAAAAATCACAACAAACATAATAATACATAGAAAAATAGCATAAATATCATTTATGTGATAGTAGGCATTTTAATTTATTCAATATCTATAATACATTAGTTTTCTGAAACTTTGAGTCCCTTGATAGCCTGATAAACAGTAATTGACTTTGTTGTTCTAAACTTTCAAATGTCAACACAGTTAAAATGTAAAACAAAGCAATCTATTCTATCTCATATAAATTATCCAAAATTTCAAACTTTAAAGTTTAAACTCCAAAGAGGCAAAGAGGAAAAGTTTGACAAATAAAAAAAAAAGATAATCAACTCTCAACTCTCAATCAGACAAGTCATCAAATACTTGAATTTCTTCTATTTATTCCTTTCGTCTCATTTTCATCTTTTCTTTTCTTTTCTTCTTCTTGGTTATCTATGTATGCCCTAATCACTCTTCCAATCTCATCAGTTGCTTATGGGCATATACTGGCTAGGAATTCTTTTTGCTGGAAAATAGCCCCCATCTAAGTATTCCCACATAGAATACGAATAACAAAATTTCAATCCTTAGGGTATTTGATAGAGGGAAAAGATGGTACCATACATAGAAATACTAATTGCAATAAAATTTCCTGTTTACATTCACTCATGCTCAAGAATCTCTCGGTTGTAATTGCTTAGAGTACAAAGACGATCAATTGAAAAAGAGAATGGCTCTAATTTTGAACATCCATAGCATGTCTATAGGAGATCAAGCTGCACATGGACAAGAATTTTCGGAAAACAAGACTTTGAATTTAGACATTCAATTATTCAATTTACATAAGCACCCCATAAAACTTGAAAAACAATTAACATAAGCATTCCATATCACAAGTTGCTTTGATTACCATTTCCAAGTGCGGCAGAACTGCTCAAATTAAACTCAGACACATACCATCAAAGCGGATTTACGAAGGGATGAAGAGCATAAATATGCCCTAATGAGTTTGAAAATATGAATATCCAAAGGAACTTTTAATGTGCTGAAATTTCGTATCCAGTGATGGCCTGCAAACAAAAAGAAATTCCTCAGCATCGTAGCAAGTGAATTTGAAATCTGATTAGCCATGATGATACTCACTGAGAGCCTGAGCAGCGGTCATTCTTTTCCTTGAATCTTTGTTTAACAAACGCTTAACAAAATCTTTTGCTTCCAAAGATAATGAAGGCCAAGGTGCTTCATCAAAACTTGGATCAGCTTTTAAGACGGCACGAAAAATACCAGATTCTGTTCGCGCCCAGAAAGGTCGGCTCCCACATAGAAGAATGTATGCGATCACACCAATACTCCAGACATCAGCCTCTGTACTATATGACCGATGTAGGACTTCGGGTGCAACATAATAAGCACTTCCCACAATGTCATTAAGCCTTTCATCTGCAAAGATCTCAAACATCAGACGTCTTATGACTCCCAAGCAATAAAACAAAGAGAAAAAGTTTTGGATTAACACTATAAAGGTTTTCAGGACTACAGATTGTATTGTCCAGGAATACCTGGTTTGACAAAGTCTGATAAGCCGAAGTCTATGGCCTTCAACTGTGAGTTTTCATCCTTTGTTGTAAAAAGGAAATTCTGGTTCAGTTAAAAGCGATGATTAGAAAGGGAAAGATATATCAATAGCAAATAATAGCATTCTAACATATTCCCATGTCGAAAGAAGCTACAAACCATGATCAAGACTCGTGTTTAAAATACTTTTTGATAACTAGCATTTATTTCTGGATAGTGGTACAGCGGTTGGTTTACAAGTGAAAATGCAATGAGGTAATGAATCACAAAGTCTAAAATACATCATAGATACCCCCGGCCAGCTACTAAATTAGCCTTTCTATACACATACTGAAATAAGATCTCTCTAGGACCAAGATCTCAGTGATGCTCTACGTACTAAAATGAGAAACGTCTAGAATCATGATCTCAAGAATCTCCTTGAGTACATACACAGATAGTGGAGATTGAGGCATGACTATCTCAAAGAGAACAGCTAAAGGCATTCCAAGCAAGGAACCATTGAAAAGACAACAAAATTATGAGGCCAATAACAAGCGTTCAAGCCTCCGCATCCATGGAATACAAAACTCCAGTTAGCCCGCCAAGTATTCTTCAGCTGATGCAGCTTATGCCAACAGTGAGTTCCACAGGAGCCCAATTACAAGTACAATAGCAAGTAAGATTTGAATAGCATATGCATGCAAGCGCATGCACATACTCATCCAAGCATACACATGCGGATTAGTGAATGTGCACACCAGTGGGCAATTCCAAATCTCACTAGTTATCACACAGAATGATTGTGTGCTACAAAGTCTTCCATGAAATTGAAGAAAAGCTCCAAAAACAAAATAGAGAATGCTCATCAATGCAACTACTGAAATTAATAGATGATCAAGCCTTAACAGAGAAATATGGCAGAGGGAGGGAGAGAATAGACAAAAATTGAAGACAATTTTGTGGTTCCTTACAGAAGTGCATTAAAATACAACTAACACATCAAGTATTAGTTTTACAGTAGTTTATTAGAGATAATTAGCCCCTTGAATAGCATTTCACACATTGGAATAGATTGGAAGTTCTGAATTCGCACCTTCAAATTCCTATGATCAGTAGTTGATATCTCCTAAGAATCCCACAACTCATGGTATGTGGATGTACTCATATAAAGGTTACACCATTGCACACTATAACATGACTCAAATAGGATTTAACAATACATTACAAGCTCGATGTCACGTATATAATTAGAGTTGGGTGGGTGAAGTAGAGATCTGCATCCGGAGTTTTATATAATCGCCACATTCCAATGAAACTGAAGAGGAAGTTTTATAAAATGCTTGTAACACCAGCAATAATTTGTGAGACGGAATGTTGCACAGTCAAGAAACAACATATCAATAGGACAAGTATAGTTGAGATAAGAATGTTGACATGGATGAGTGGCAAGACAAGAAAGGATATAATTCAAAACGAATCCATACATGTGAACTTAAGGGTGGCTCCAATAGGCGATAAGATGAGGGAAAGTAGACTTAGGTGGGCTGGCCATAGGCAACGTAGACCTAATATAACACCGATTAGAAGGGGCAATTTGATTCAAGTGAAAAGCTACAAAACGGCAAGGAGAAGGCCTTAAAGGACATGGATGGAAGTAATGAGAAGAGATGTGGTGATTTATAGTCAAACTGAAGGTATGGCCCTTGACAAAGCAGAATGGTAGAACAAGATTTATGTAGCGGACCTCAAATAGTTGGGATTAAGCTTAGATGATTATGATGATCATGAATACATTACAAACTATTTAGGGCCGCTTATTCTCTAATAACCTTCATGTTATTTCACACTCTATTTCTCCAATTTCCCATAACCAGGAAAGAATTGTACCATCAAGAGTCATTTCTTGATAATTCAGCTCCTCCAATTGCAAAAAATATTCAAGTAGCCACGCGTAAGAATCCTTGAGCACAAATATTAACTTGATTATCTTGGAGGAGGATGCAAGTGAAACTCTTGAAATATTCCCAACAACAGGATGACCGAGTTTTTTTTTTTCTCTTTTTTTTTTTTGTTTTTTAATAGGATAACTTCAAATTCCAATGGAAGAAATCCAATCAAATACATGTTGACTATATCAATGTTCATCGCAACTGGATTACAAGCTCATGTACAAAACTTTCATTTTTGTAATTAAAAAATCTAAAAGAACGAAAAGGATACATAAAATGAACCTACAAGCACAAAAGAAGACCCTGGATACAAAATCTGAATTGATTGTTTGTTAATGCAAACTAAATAAAAAACCAAAGGTTCCACAGGCAAGTGAAATTGGCATTACACATTGTTAAAGAATAACTTGTTTTATATATTATGGTATTTCTGTTCTTTTTATATACTAATAGGATAGTTATTTTCATTGGGGGTATTTTATCCAATGCAAAACCTAAACAAACATTATATATAAATATATTAGTGGGGCACGGGGTGACTGAATCTCATGTCACTCTCTCCCCTCTTCTCTTTCATCTCTTCTCTCTTCTCTCTTTCTTTTCCTCTTCTTTTCCCTTTCTCTCTGTTCATAGTACTCTTTACGGCACTGTTCATGAAATTGTTCATGACTCTGTTCACGGTATTCTTCGCATGCTATCAGTGTTGGGTTTATGTGGCCTTTAAAGGCCTTATGAGAGCTTGAATAAGCATTGCATATAGTGAAACATAAACTCAATGGGAATGTGGTCTTCGTGTGGACCATACTAGGCAAATGAGATTTGTCGATACTCAGACTAGGCTTGACATGCTAGGCCAGCCAAGTTGAAAAAACCCAAGGTATGAGCATAGAGATAAAACCGAAAAGGGTTTAGTGGGTTAGCCCTTGATGAGGTCGGAGTATGCCCAGATGAGAGCCAAGAAACTGTGTGACCCTTGTGTGTGATAAATAGCCTTTAGAGACAGGGCTAAAACCTCATCAGTGTATCATCACACAGCATATACATAAATAGCTTTATTGAGATAATGATCCACCATTGAGGGTGAAGCACGTGCATGGGACGAGAGAATACCCCTACCATAGAGTCGTGGCTGGATTATGGTCTGGGGAACCATGGTTTTTTGTCTCTAAGGGAGAACCTGAAATCCACAGACTAGGATTATGTTCCCTAGCCTATTGGCCGACTTTGGTGGTCCAATCATGAGCCTTTGCAGTGGATTATGGGTAATGGGAATTGCTAGGTCAGTTTGAGAAAGCTAGTGTGGATCGTAGACTGCAGTTGAAGGTGGAGTGCTCCAGTGCATTGATAAATTCCTAGACCTAGACGGATCCGATTCCAACCAAAATTAATTAAGTTTATGTTATATGATTTTTAGAATGTTTATTTGAATTTTTGTGATTCTCTTGATATTTTATTTTTATCATTTTGATTTATAAAATAAGAGAAAATCAATTTTCAATTTTTAAATAATCAAAGAGAAAAAAAGCTTATTTCTTAAAATCATTTTAATTCATAAATATTTGAGAGGGTCCATGGGGGCCCACCAAGTCCACCATTGTGATGTGTGGCACACCCCACATAGTGGGACTTTCTTATTCTCTAATCTTGTGAATCAAGGCAAACGATTAAATTAAAAATTTATGGAAAGCGTTTTGTAGAGATTTTGATTGAAAAGAGAATGGAATGGAATGTCATGTGTATCAAGATTGCTTGATTGAAAGAATAAGGAATAAATATTTACTAAATGAGAAAGTATGAGTAATATTTTTCTTATTTCAATATTTGATGGGAATAGATTTAGGAAATGAAGATAAGGTTCTAGCACCTTCCTTGAATCTTGATGGTGGATAAAAGGAATGGATGGCTCAAATCTCTCACCCCACAAGTCTCCTTAAATCGACGGTCAGAATTTGACCCTACAAATTAAGGAAAACCCTAAGGCATAAAAATTCTATAACAAGGGACTCTCCCCTTTTACCAAATCTCTACACACCTCTCTTGTCTCTTCTCTCTCTAAGAGTTATTTTCTCTCTCTAAGATCCCTAAGGGGGCCATGCCCCAACCTTCCATACATCTCTCTCTCCCAAGTTAGTCTAATGGACTACGCCCCAACCTAGCCTCTCAATCTCTCTAAAGGTGGCATGCTTAGGGCTAGGATATATCACATCTCTCTCTTGTGAGTTCTAAAAGGTGGTATGCCCAAGCTAGGCTAAATCTTGATTTTTGTAAGTAGCCAAGGGAAGCATCCCCTAGCTAGTAGATCTCTCCCTCTCTCGTTGATTTCTAAGCTCTCATCTCTATAAAAATCAAGTAAAGGGGCTATGACTAAGGCATTGAGGCGTTAAGTAGTTGGTTCTAGATCGAGATCCATATGTCTTTCAGAGGATTTTTCCATAAGTAGGATAATTAAGAGACCGATCACAAATCCTGAGCACTATCGGAAGGAGGAGACTCAGCGTGGAGTGTACTAAGCCCGGTTAAGGTAATCTCCAACAATTTTGCTTCTTTAAATTTTATTTTTGTGTTGAGCTTTTCTATTCCCATAAAGCAATGAGTTAAGGTAGGTTTTGATTTGAAAGAATTGTATTCAATAGTGGTAGCAAGTGAGAACCGTGTTTCTCTTCCTTTCTTTATTTGTTTCAAGAGTTATTTATTTGTAATTGGACATTGTGAGTGGTCTTGCCAATGTAAAATAAGGAAAAATAAAAAAAGTTTTAATTTATATACAATGTGCTTGATCACATAGTCCAACTTTTATTGGTATCAGAACTAGATCTACTTGCTACCCTATTTCTTTTATTTCACTAATTTTGTTTTTTAGAGAACTTTTATTTCACTATTTTTTGTGAGCTGAGAATGAGATATAAGAAAACCAAGGACTTTTGTGGTCAAGTGATACACCTCCGGAAGAACTGTTGGCATATTCAAACACTGAAAAGGCCTTCTGCAGAATGGGATATTTTCTGCTGTTTTGGAGCAATGATATAAAGAGGATAATGAGGTATTTATATTTTGAATACTTTAGTGATATTATGTATTTTTTAGAGTAGGATCTACCCACAAAAATTCAATGGGACATTCCTAAAGGAATTG